GTTTATGAGCGTCGATAAAGATAAATCTGGAACTCTTGAAATTGGTGAATTAAAGAAAGCTAAATTCCCAGGAGGAATTAAAGTTGATGATAAGACAATTAAGAGATTAATGAGAATCTTTGATATTGATTTGTCTGGATCAATTGGATTCTTTGAATTCCTTGCTTTATGGAATTTCATGAACCTTTGCAATGAAACATTTAAACACTTTGATGCTGACAAAAGTGGAAATCTTGATGCCAATGAATTAGTCCAAGCTCTTCCAATGCTTGGATTCAATTGTAACAAGAGATCAATTGATGTTTTATTGAAAATGAACGGTTCATCATTAGGATCTAAGAAGGTTTCAAAGAGCCAATTCATTAGTGCTGCTGCTTATCTTGGACAATGCAGAAGTATTTATCAAAAGACCTTTAATATGAAGAGAGAAGAAATTGACAATGCTGAATTCGATAAGTTCGTTAATTTAGTTCTTGCACTTTCAGGCTAATTATGGTATTAATTTACCTTCATTGAACTCTCATTATTTTCTTTTTTATTTTTTTTCTTAAAGTATGATTATAAATATTTTCATACAGTATATTGAATTGTTTTATTTTTTTATTACCTCTTTTTCTTAAACTTATACCTTCACTCACAAAGAGCTTTATTCATTGGAAATGTTTTATTCATCTGATTTTCAAAAGAAAAATATTCTTGAATACTTTATAACTTATTTTCTTAGAATATTGGTTGAATTGAACTATTTTATAAGATAAAATGATTATTTGACACAATTGAATTACTTTATTGTAATTAAATAATAGAATAATGTAAATAATAAAAAGAATCAGAACGTAATCTCATTAAAATAACTTAATTAAAACAGTGTGGTAAATCATATTTGATCAGTTAGTCTATAGAAATCGATTTGAGTTGAATTGGAGTTAATAGTTGAGTGTTAGTAAAAGAGATGTCTTGTAATTCGTATCGTTTACACAAAAACTCAGCAAGCAAAGTTGTGATAATGCCAACAACTATGTTGACTAATATCCATGACTGTAAAATGAGTGCTTGATAATAAGTAGATGGTTATTTTTTTAATAAACAAACTCCCGTTGGAATAAATTTCATACTGGTTATTGATGTTAAAAGGTAATGAATGAAAAAAACAGTAAAAGAGTAATCCCAACACACTTTAAATCGTTCTACAATAAATCTAATACCAATTGATCTATTTCATAAGAAGTTAATTTTGAATAAATGAATAAACATTCACAAACAAAGGTAAAGAGTTAAGCAGATAACAAAAAAGATATGTCTTATTGTTAAGAGTTAAATTTGTAAAAGAAAATAAAAATTTAAGTTTTGACTCAATAGGTAAAATAAGAACAGTTACCATTAATGGAATTATAAATATGCACTGTAATAAAAATATTTGTAATAAAATATATGTGATGTTCTTAAACTCTGTTTTTACCATATAAATTTTAAGATTTGATAATTATAAGATTCAATGAAAACACAATCTTGAATTTTTGTTTTCTTTTAATTTAAACCCTTGTCATTTGTTCATCTAGAAAAAGTTATTTAAAATTATGGAAAAGGAACAACTCCCTGAATTAAAACATATTAATGTCAATGATTTTAACATAACAGAAAAGGTAATAGGGATTCCAGTTCAAACGAATGAAGTGGCAAAATATATGAAAATGTTTAAGGGGTTGTGTTATAATAGAATAAAGACAAAATGTGTTATACCATATAATTCTGAAAGAATGATTTTATTAGAAACACCATTAAAAGAACAGTCACAAAAATTAATTCAAGACAACCATTTAGAAACAATTGAGGCAGAGGTTCCTTTAACAATTAAAAATTTTAATGTTAATGAAATTATGAAGAAGTATATAAATAAAAGTATTCAATTACCTAGTTCATTTGAAACTGTAGGAACATTAGCACATATGAATTTAAAAGAAGAACAAATGGAATTTAAATATATTATTGGAGAAGCATTTCTTATAAAGAATTATCCAAGGATTCAAACAGTGATAACGAAGACAGCAGAAATTTCAAATGAATTTAGAACATTTCCATTAGAAGTTATTGCAGGTATTCCAAATACAGAAGTTACCGTTATTTGTCATGGAGTAAAATTTGTATTAGACTTTGCACAATGTTATTGGAATACACGACTTGAAACTGAACATATTAGAATTATTAATCAAATGAAACCAGGAGAAATTTTATGTGACGCTTTTGCTGGAGTTGGGCCATTTGCTATTCCAGCAGCGCTTAAAGGAGTTAAAGTATATGCAAATGATTTAAATCCAACTGCAGTTAAATACATGAGAATTAATGCAGTAAATAATAAAACAACAATAGAATGTGATAATATGGATGCAAGGGATTATCTTAGAAAAATTGTTATTGAAAAACATATTCAACCAAATTACATTTTAATGAATCTTCCTGCAACAGCAATAGAATTTCTTGACTGTATTCCTGAACTTTATTTACAACATTGTATGATTCATTGCTATGGGTTTTCTCCTCTTCCAAATGCAGAAGATTTAAAGAAAAGAGCTTTTGAATTATTAAAAGGAGAATATCCAATTACAATAAGAGAGGTACGTGATGTCGCACCTAAAAAAATTATGTATTGTCTTTCGATATTTATTGAATCAACAAAACATTTAACTTCAGGTAATAATATTCCTGAAGCTAAAAAAACATTAAATTAAATCTTTTATTAATATAGTAATTTTATATTATAATAATTTACTATTTAAAAAGAAAAAACCCATATATTCATTTTTACTTTAAAAAAATAAATTCTTTCATTCATTGAGGTAATGACATTACTTCATTATAGAAATTTAATGCATTACCAGTTAATAATTGCCGTAATACAACACTTTGTCCATTAGTATTAATTGGTGTTGTACATAAAGTTGCTAAATTAGTTTTAATTTCTCCATTTAAATTCTTAATTTCTGGATCTACATGTGGATATTTAATAGTTGCTAAATTAGTAGTTTTATCATCTTTAATATCTTCATGAACAAAATCAATAATTCTTTTATTCTTTAATGTTTCAAGTACAGCTTGCATCAAACAATTTAATGATTCGTTATTAACCATTAAAGTATTAAATGGTGATAAACTAAATAATTTCATCATTCCGACAACACAAACTGGTCTATTCATTTCTGCAGGTAATTGAACAATATTAGTTAAAATTAATTGACCACATTCAATAGGAATATTTAAAGCTTGAATTGTAGAAATATCACTAATATAACATATTTGTAATATAAATTTAATTAATTGATAAGTAAGTCTTCTAATTTGATGACTTGCTAGTCGTTGACATATTAAAGTAATAATAGTTGGTATTTGATTTAATCTTTGTAAAGGAATACCAAAAGTGATTCCATTTAATAATGTAAAAGCGTCATCGATAAAATCAATTTGTAATAATACTTGGAATAATCCAAATGTTTTATTTATCATTTCATCAGTAAATACATTTGGTGATTTTTTTGCACAAGAAGTAACAAATTTAACAATTGGTGTGATCATAGAAAATCTATCCCCAATTTGTAAATTAAGTATTGGTTCACATAAACTACTAACTTGTGGAAGGTATAATGTAAGTATTTGGAATAAATATGCCATTACATCTACATTATCTACTTTTAATGCCTCTCCTGTAATGTTGATTAATTGTTGTTCAATTGATGGTAATCCAATACTTAATGCTGTTGACAATACTTCAAATTTCATTCCGACATAACTTCCATCTAATTTGTTATTTCTAACTTCTTTTGATGCTTCAGTAACTAATCCCATAACAAGTTCTTTAAACATATCGTCCATTGGTAAATTAAGTTTGCTTGCACGCTGTAATATTCTAACTCCAGCTCTTAAATGATAAATTGAATGTAATTGTAGTCCATTTTTTACTAATTTATTTGCCATTTCAAATGCTCTTCCTAATTGGTCATCGTTAATTCCATTAACTGCTCTATTATAATTACTTGATGTTTTTAATAATAACATTTTTTCAATTGTATTTGCCGCAAGCATTGAACATACTAAACTAGCTCCAGTAACTTGAGGAAATATTGCTAAGTCATATAACTTAATAAATATTTCATTATATTCTTGATTAGTTACTTGTAAAATACTACGAAATTCATGAACAAATTTAATAACAGCAATTTGTGGTGATGAAATAAATAATGGTTTTACTGTATTATTCCAAAACTGAACCAAATCCACTCCTTCACTAATTCTTGTAGCCCCATATCTTGGTATTTCTCCTTCAACAACAAATCCAATAAATAAACGAATTGCACTATCAATATTACTTTGTTGTAATGCTTGAATTCCTCTATTAACGAATTCCATAGTATCAGGTCTTATTCTTCTAATTAAATTAAGAAGATTTCCTGCACTTTTTTTAACCGAAATAATTTCTGATTCAAGTTCTAATTTAACATATTCTTCAGGGTCTTCATTTATTTGAGTTATTTCTTCTTGATTTAATGATACATCTTTAGCGATAATATTAATTATTTGAATAAATTGATCGTTATTCATAATTTTAAGTATTCCATTCATTGTACAAAGAACTTCATATCCAGCAATAATATTTTTATCTTCTCTTTGTGAAGAATTTAAATAGTCTACAACAGTTTGATAAATAATAACAGTCATAGTGTCTTTAAGAAAATCATTATCTAAATATTTAGAACAAAAAATGTTATATATTTTAAATATTACTAATTGACATTTAGGTTGTTGAGTATGTGCAATTTGATCTAATTTTTTAGAAACTATTTCTATATTATTTTCTATTTCATCAACTAATTCAATTGAAACAATTCCATGTATAAATTTTAATATTGGAAGAATCATTTTATCAGTACAATTTAATTCAGTAAACAATGGTAAAATTAATGGAAATACTTGTACAATTTGTTTAATTTCTCTTACTGTCTCATTATTAATTTCGATTGTTCTATATTTTTTTGTAATAGCAGATAATAATTGAATACAAATATACTTTTGTTCAATAGTACCACTTTGATATGTTTGTTGAATTAAATTAATCATATCTGGCCATTGTTTTGGGAAATCAATATTTGCTACAACAGCAAAACAATCAAATAACAATTTGTTTATTAATTGCGTTGAAGAAAAAATTGCTTGAAATAATAATTTTCTTATTTCTCCTCTAATATTTGAAGAATAAAAATTCTCTTCTTGATAATACTTCTTTAGGATTTGCCTTAAAAAAATTGCTGCTGTTTGTGTTTGCATCATTTGTTGTGGAGAATTTGTTGTGTTTGGAATTAAAATTAATTGAAGAAGTAATGGTGTAAATTCAGGTCGTTGTATTTGAGTAATATACAAATTAGTTTCATTACTAAGATTATTTCCTTGTGTTGACTTTGTGACGATATTTGCTATAAATTGTTGTAATTGAAGAATTTCACTATTCATTGATTGTTTTAAGTTCTTTTCTCTTTTATATTTATTTCTTTTCTTCTTTTCTCTCTCTTTTCTTTTATTTTCTGAAAAAAGGGTTTTAAAATTGAGTTTTAATTTTGTGTGTTAAAAAGATTAACATTTTCTTTTAAATACATTTAACAAAAATAAATATAATTCAAATTTTTTATGTAATATAAAACAACTATATAAAATTAATAGCATTAGTTAAAAATGATATCGTATTATCATTTAATGTAAAGGCATTAAACAAAACTTACAATTTGGATATGTTTAATTCAATTATAACATTCTACACTAAATAAAAGACAAAAAACAGAAAAAAGAATTGAATAATTTTTTAAAATTATATAAAACTACACTTAATTACAAATAAAAAATAAATAATAACTTATTAGTAAAAATTAATTAGTATGAAAAGAATTAAAACAAAACCTAGATTTCACTAAAAATTGATTAAGATGGCTGAAGAAACTCAAGTTCAACAAGAAATTCAAGAACTTCCACAAGAATTAAAAGACATTAAAGCTGTCTTATATCAAGCAAGAGCCCAAAACATTTTAACTAAAGGAATTAGACAATGCCTTAAAGTTATTGAAGCTAAGAAGGCCCTTTTCTGTTTCATTGCTGAAGACTGTGACAACGACAAATATACTGGACTTCTTACTGCTATTTGCAAAGAACAAGGAATTAAAATCGTTAAAGTCCCAGAAAAGATCCAACTTGGTGAATGGACTAATCAATGCAAAATCAGAGACGGAGTTGCTGTCAATATTGCTAAATGTTCATGTGCTGTTATTGGAAACAATATTAAATTTACTGATGAACTTAAGAGATTAAAAGCTAAAGTTGATGCTTAATTAAGTAATTTTTTGCTTTATATAACTTTGTTTTAAGAAAAAGTTTTAGTTCAGATTTTTAGTTAAAAGTCATTTATAATATTAGTTATAATTTCTTAAGATCAATATTATTTAGATGAGCCATTTTCCTTGGGATAAAACTCTTAAAAGTTCAGAACAACAAGAGCTTATTAAAGCATTAAAATTCATTATGTGTGCATGCGACTATGATAAGTACACACATGAGATTGAAAACCATATCTATATAGTTAGTAAGTACTATCCAAAAATCAACACAAACATTGGATTTCTAAAAGCCAAATGCAAAAAGGTTAAAGAATACTTTATAAACTATTTTGATAAGAAAGTTCAAGTAATCAGCGATATGCTCAATTTGATTGGTGACATGTCTTTGTTCAATGGTTCTACAAATAAAGTTAATGAATGTCGGCAGTGGATTTACCAACAAATCCAATCAATAAACTTTCTAAAGCAAACACAAGACATTCAAAATAGAATTAAAACGGGTAAAAGTATAGATTCGATAAACTTTGATCGGTTAGTAAAAAAATTTGTTGAAGATTATAAAAAATCCCCATCTATTGAATTAGAAAAAAACACTGTTTATTGCAAAATTTTAAAACAAACAAAAGAAGATAAATCAAAACAATCAGGTGCATTTAGTCGGACTAAACCCTCTGATTTAGAAAGTCAAATTGATGAATTGAAAAGAGAAAAAGAATATTTACAAAATAAATATAGTGCATTGGTAAAACAAAAAGATGAAACGATCACTGAGTTGACAGAAACAAACGAAAAAATCATAGAGCAAATAGCAAGTCATGAAAAAAATTGCTCAAAAGTTATTAAGGATTTTGAAGAAATAGATCAAAAATTTATAATTGAGAAACAAAGACAACGCAAAGAATTTGAGCAAAAGCTTAAAGAGATTAAACTACAAAATGAACAGGATACTGAGCAAATTGTTTCTGAGACAAAAAAATTACAAAATGAAGTAATAAGTTTAAAAGAAAACATTGAAACAAAAAAAAAAGAGTGTAATAACTTAAACCAACAATTAGATGGACTAAAGAAACAATTATACGATTATCTAATGATGCAAAATAGTCCTAAAGGAGTCACATTCAAAGATAAACTGGAGCCAAACACAGAATATTTTATTGTTCTTACATCAAACATCAATGAGAATAAAGTCTCTCTTCCTCGAGTAAATCAATGTATGTTAGGAGCTAACCTTGAAGTTGAATTATACCAACACGACCTCCAACGTTATGGTTCTGGCAATCAATTTACCATTAAAGAACAAGGATCGCAATTGTCACAAGAAAAAAGGTGTGATATCCAGATAAAAATTATTAAAAGTCCAGAGGACGAAAAGGAAGAAGACAAAGAAGAGGAGGTAACGGAATGTACAGACAATTATCTAAAACATCAATTGATTCAACAAATAGTTGAAATTCCTCTAAACATTTTTTTAACAGGAGGGACAATAGAAGTAGCTATAGCAAATAATAGTTTAATAGTTCCTATTCCTGTTGGAGAAAGTGAAGGGTTTTCATTAAGCTATAATTCTGTTTCCATGGACAACGATGGAAATATTATAGATGTTGTTTTAAAAACAAAATACCTTGAGGACCCTCATTATCAAAGAGTGGGAGATGACTTAATTGGATTTTTCCAATATTCACAAGAAAATGCTGGTGCAATGGCCCCAGTTCCTTATATTATTGAGGGCCAATCATTAGGAGAATTTGTTTTACAGCCTGGAAAATTTAGGTATCAAGGATATGGTTTTGCTTCACCAACAGGAACACGAGGAGATTATTGGTTGCACATTGAACTTATTTAACTTAGTAATAAGTTAACCTTTATACCTTTTTAATCCAAAAAACAAGAAAAAGAAACAATAATTGTTAGTTTTATGAATTATTATTTATCTCAAAATGAAATAATAAAAATCTTAAAATAAGTTAATAAAATTTTTAAGTGAAAATTAAAAACAAGAATGCCATTCTGCACTAACTGTGGTCAAAGTATTTCGTTTTCAGCAAAGTTTTGTACTAACTGTGGCACCCCAGTAAAGTCAACTCCTTCCAATAATCTTAAAACTGCTAGTTTAACACCAACAATAACCAAATCCTCTACTTCGTCTTCTCTAAAACCTGTTACAAGCACTAACACAACTCGAAGTACTAAACCAACTTCAAGTAATTCGACCTCTTCAAGTTCTTCAATAAGTAGTAAAAAAAGTTATTTTGAAAGTAAAGATAAAGAAGTACAAAAGGAAAAGAAAGTAAAACAACCCAAAGAAAAATCTCATATCCATTTTGTTTTTAGTAGTAGCCCTGACCCAATGACTCATAGCTTAACACCAACATCTTCTGACTTTGATTTTATTCAGAGAGATCATAAAGACACTTATGAAGAAACTAAAAAACAAAGAGAAAAACAAGAACAAAAAAGAAAAAAACAAGAAGAAAAAGCTCGTTTTGAAAAATCAAGTCAAGTAAAAAGTAGTTCAACATCACTTCCTACTTCGATAAATTTAAAAAAAAAGGGAGATGTTATTGTATCTATTGGATCACCAAAATCATCATCAACAAGTGAGATAAAGAAATGTAAGTATTGTCATCAAAATATAAATAGAAATGAAAGTTATAAAATAGTATTTGGGAATTATTATCATGACAAATGTGTTCATTGTTATAAGTGTAATCAAAGAATATACTCTACTTCAAAATTTTATAATCATAAAGGAAAAATTATTTGTCATCCATGTATGTTAAAAAAATTACCTAAATGTACTCATTGTAATAACCCAATTAAAGGAAATTGTGTTGTTGTTGGAAATAAAAATTATCATCCAGAATGTGCTCCTTCTTGTTAAGTCATTTTATTTTTATTATATTTTAATTAATCTTTCATTTTTTTTTATTAAATTTTATTGATAAATCCTTTTATTCATTTAAGTCTTACTAAACAGTTTTTTCAATAAAAAACATGACACAAACAATACTTCTTGTTAAATATTATTTGTCCTAATAGTGTTTTGTTGAAATAAATATATTTTAATAACAGAGTTTCAAAAGATAAAATTTTAAAACATGGACTCTTTTGTCAAATTGGTCAGTTAGAAAAAGGAATATCTTAATACTAGAAATAAAAGTTCTTAAAAGAACTAAATATGAGAAAAAGGTTCAACTCAAAATAGAATTTAAAGGTCAAACTTTAAATTTCCAAATAAATAATGTCTACTTGCCCTGTATGTGGAAAAAAAGCTTATCAAATGGAGTCCATTGTTATTGAAGGAATTACTATGCACAAAAACTGTTTTAGATGTAGTGTTTGTAAGAAAATATTAAACGGATCTAACTTTGCAAAAAATCATGGAATTTATTACTGCAAAGTTCATTTCCAACAAATGTTTAAAGAAAAAGGAAACTATGATGAGGGCTTCGGTTATACAAAGCGTAGTACTAATTGGGAAAAGAAAGAAGAAGAACATCATACTGAGCCCAAGAAAGAGGAGCATAGCGTTGAGCTAAAGAAAGAAGAACACCACTCTGAATCCAAAAAAGAAGAACACCACTCTGAACCTAAGAAAGAAGAACGTAATGTCGAAGTTAAGAAAGAAGAGGCTACTATTTCTCCTGAAACAAAGACACTTATAGAAAATATTTTAAAACAATTAGATAAAATTGATGAAACTTGCACTAAATTAGAAAGTGGTGGAATTATTACTCCAGTAAATTCAAGTCAAATAGACCAAATTTTTGATCGTCTTGATGCTGCACTTTCTAAATTAGAAAAGAAATAAATTTACATTTCATTTTTCTCTTCAATTAATGATCTCCCCTTTTTGAATTAGCATAAAACTTTCCTAACATAGATATTGAAAATAATGATTAATTAATTAACAATGTTATTTTGATTCAATGATGATAGCATCTGGTGTATTATCGTTTTGTTCAGTTCTTTGAGATTGGTTATCTGGTTGTGGTTGTTCGTCTGGATTATTAACTACTTCTTGTGTTTGATGTAATTTTGATTTCTCTATTTGACTTGGGTCTTGAGTGAGCTGAGTTTTTAATTCGATTTCTTGTTCAGAATTTTTAGTTGATTGTTTCAAATTATGGTCATCAGATTTAATGACATTTCCTTGAGAATCAAACTTAAGATCTGCATAAGGCTTTTGTTGCTCATCTCTTAAAGCCTTTTTGGACTTAGAATAATCAAAGAACAAACAACCAATAATAACTCCATGGGCAGCGGCAAAAAGAGCTACAATGATTTCATATACTCCAAAATAAGTAATATAATCTATATCGCATTGAATAGAAAAAGGTTCTGATATAGAATGTGTGAAATCAACTGTACTAAGAAGTTCGTTATTACAAAACTTATCAGAATTAAATCCCATCACTGTATCAGCAATGCCAACAATAAGAAGAACAAAACTAAAGGCGATATAAGCTAAGATGAAGATTAATGACTTCTTTTGAACTAACACAGAACCAAATACGAACGAAACTATTGAAAAGATAAAGGTAAACATTGTGGCAAATAAATGACAAACAATTTGATATGTCAGAGGTGGCATGCAATAAAATTTATATGCACCAGCATCAGTAAAGTAAGTAAAGTCAAGTGGACGGTTTTCTTTAAAAGGATACGAGTGACATGTTCCATTAGTAGAGTCAAAAGTAAGATCCATCTACTAATAAGTATTTGACTATTTTTTTCATTTTTGATAAAAACAAACATAAAGACCATCATCTTCTTCTGATTTGCCATATAAAATAAATTGATAAGAAAAAGCAACAAGTGACATGATTCCACACAAAGTTGTTAAAATAATAAGAATCTTAAAGGATGTTTTTTGACTTTGAACACGTCTGAAGTAATCCTTGAAGTGGGACATCAATGATAGAAATTTAAGATTCTATTGAGTTTCTTTCTAGTTTTGGAAATTAATGATAAATAGAAAAAAATAATCTAATAAATCGGGATGATACTGAAACTTCTGAAAAAAAGAAATTGGTTCCAAGGATTAAAAGAAAATTGTTTAAAGAAAATCAAAAAAGACAAATCAATTTTTCTTTTTACCCAAAAAAAAATAATAAAAAAATTAACAGAAAAAGATGAGTAAGGACAGTGAAGATTATCAAAATGATGAAAAGATGTTAGAAGAATATAATAAATTAATTGAAAACAATGGCACAGACTCACAACTATTTGCAAAACGAGGGATGTGTTATTACTCACTTGGAAAATATATGGAAGCATTTACTGATGGAGTTACTTCAGCACGACTGAACCCTAATATAACTGATGGATTAAAACCAATAGCATTGTCATTAATCAAAATGGAAAAGTATCAAGAAGCAAGAAGAGTAATTGAAAAAGCAATGTCAATGGAAGAAACAAATGAATATTGGAAAAAATTACATTTAGAGGTATTAGAAAAAGATACAATTCAATTTGACCCAATGCATGTCTTTGATAATTGGGAAGAAAAGTTAATGTCAAATGAACGTACAAAGAAGTATTTAAAAGATGAAAGTTTCAAAGAATATTTAAGTGATTATGTAAATAATCCAATGTTATTTAAAAGTGGTGTAAAAGATCCAAAAATTTCAGAGTGTTTAATGGTATTAATGGGCGTTGATATGAATCAATTTTTAAATGTACAAAACACTAAATCATTATGGAGTGAAGCAATTACTAAGGACAAACAAAGAGAATTAAAAAAAGAAATGAATGAAAAAGGAATAGATGTTAATAACGATAAGAATGAATCGTCTCAAGAAGTAAAAGAATTTCTTAATAATGTTACCAAGAAAAAATCAAAACCATTTATTCCACCAAAAAATAATGAAGAACGTATTATTGAAGCGGAAAAAGAAAAAGAAAAAGGAAATGAATACTATAAACAAAAAATGTTTCAAGAAGCAATTGAATGTTATAATCATGCAATGATGTTAGACAAAACAAACATTATATATCAATTAAATAAATCAGCTGTTTATTATGAAATGAAACAATGGAGATTTGTAATTCAAATTTGTAGTAATTTAATTAATAAAATTACTGATCAAAAAAGGCATGGAAGAATTGCTTTAAGATTAGCAAATGCATATTTAGAAGTAAAAGAATTAGAAAATGCTGAAAAGTATTTTGATATTGCAATAAAAGATGGAATAAATGAAGCTAAAATAAAATATGAAGAAGTTAAAATATTAATTGAACAAGAACAAGAAAGAAAAATACTTAAAGGACCAACAATGAATTCAGACATTGAAAGATATTTAATGCATGATGAAGTTCGTGAAATTATTAGATTAATTAATAAAGATCCAAATAATTTAAAAAAGTTAAGAAAAGAGCCCAAATATCGACAGTATATAGAAAAAATGATTCAATTAGGAATATTACAATCACAAACATAAATTTACTTCTTTTTTTTTTTTCTTCTTTTTATTACATTATTTATTATTATAATTTTTATAATAAAAATAAGAAAAATTCAATTATAATAAATAAATAAAAACTATGCAACGTTTTCATTTACAATAAGCTTATCTAAGGTCTTCACTTACAATACCAAAAATATGAAAAGTATCTAAATAATCTACTAGTCTGTCTAACGTTAATTGTTCTGGTGGAATAATTTTTCCTATAGCCATTACTATTTGATCATTAATTTCATAATCAACACCTTTTTTACTAAAGTCATGTGGTACTTTATTTTTAAATTCTTCATGAGTAAATACATTAAGTTTATTATATTCATTAGCTAATTCTTTTGCTTTAATTGATGACACTAACGAGTCTTCAGGATTTTGTTCATTAATAGTTTTTTGTAAATCTCTTAATTCATCAGATAATCGGACGTGTTCTAAATAATTTTCATATTCCTTTAAATCATCGTCTGAGATAAAATCAAAATCATCATCTGAAAATGAACCTGTATCATCTTCACCAAAATCAGTTTCATATTTATTTTGCATAATCTCTCTTACAAGGTCTACCATAGCCTCTCTATCACATGGATAAGCATATTTAATTTGATCAAGGTATTCTTGTGGAGTACTGAGAGGTAATGACTTAACCAAATCATTGTACTGTTCTATGTCAAGGGGTGACTTTGACTTTGGAATAAATGATTCGACATCCAAATCAAAAGAGTTTTTATGTGCACTCATCTTTATTTATTATTTTTAGTTGGTATAAAAATTCTTTTTTTATTATTCATTTTCAAAAAATAATTATTATTATCTCCTTATTGATATGGAAATGTAATAAATAACAAAAATTAATTAGTTTTTACGTTTTTTACAATGAAACCAAAACCTTTGGTTCTTACTTCCATCATAAGGTTCTAATATAAGTGAAGAATCATCACAATACATACCCTCTTCAACAGTAACACATCTGTTTGAATACTTTTTATTGAAAATTATACTTCCTTCTCTATTATTTTCTTCTATAATCCAAAGTTCATCTTCTGTTAGTGTCTTTTCCTTTTGCACAATTTCTAATCTTCCATTACCATCGTTGTGAACAGATAATACTTTTCCTGTTTGTTTATTAATTATTCGCCCATCTATTAATAAAAATAATCGACTTTTCCTTCTCATACTTGAGATTACTAACTCATCATCTTCACCTATATCAACTACATACTGTTTACAACCTGCAGATTTTATTTGATAAACAGGTGGTTTTTTGTTCATGAGAAATAGAAATTATAAATATGTAGAGGCAATCAAACCCTTTCTAGATGTTTTATGTTCAACAAAAAAAAAATAAAATTAATTAAAGATTCAAGAAAAAAACAAGTTAGTTGTTTTAAAACTTGAAAGAGATAAAAACATCATTTATAAAAACATGAAATAATCATCATTGTCATAACTGTCTTCATCACCAGAACCAAACTCATCAAAGGAAGAATCTAAACCTAATTGTTTATCAAATTGAACAGATTTACAAAGTCGTTGATTTGTAAAATCTTCAACTAAATCATGTTCTGTACAATAACTGTCATCACAAACAGGAGCTGATAGAATATGTGAGATTGGATTAAAGTCTCGTGGTGGGACAATAACTTTATGAATATCATCATCTTCCTTCATTTTTAAATGTTTAATAATTGGTTCATTTGGAATTACCAATTCATCATTGTGAGAGAAGTAATCTTCCTCTTCATCAAAACAATAATCATCATCACAACCTTGAATAACATAATCTCTATTTTGTTAGTATTAAATTAAGTGAAAATACCCAATATAAACCATAAATTTACTGCAGAATTACTGCACACTGCTCAATTTAAAAAAGATATGATAAAAGGTCTTTTTATATAAAAAAAGTACTTTATTATATCCTTTTTTTTATAAAAGTAATTGTGTTGAAAAGAAAAACACTAAATTACTTCTTTAGAATCAAGTGCACTATTGTAACTTTTGAATAGTTAATCGAATAGTGTTTGATAATTTTAATATTCATTTACAAACGTTGTATCAAAAAATATATGTTGAGCAGATGGCTTGACTACGTCCATGAAAGAAGTGATATTAAAATGACTTCCACAATCTTTAAATAAAAAGAAGAGTTTAGAATTGGAAGGTTCCAAGGGTTTGAATGGATTTTTAATGTATCAAAGGATAATTTATTTAGTTAAATTTACTAATTAATCTATTTTTCTTTATCTTTACTTTTTTATTTTTAGTACCTTAAAACCCCTTTTTTTTTTGCTTTTTCTATTTAAATTAAATGTAACCACGTCATCTAATTACAAGAAAGGATAATTCCATTGACGTTTGTTTCCATTTTTTAATGGAAGTTCAGCTATTCATTTTTTTACTTTTTGAATACGATTTATAAAAATATCAAAAGAAATATAAGTGTGTTATATATAACATAATTAAGAAAGAATATATTCAGTTTTAAATAACAAAAACAAACGAATGTATTCATTATTTTTGTAAATACCAAAAGTATTTAGTTATTTCTATGAATTTTTGGTCAAGGATACCATTGGATGATAATTAATTTTTTAGAAGAGTTAGGTTCATTGGTAGCATTACCTTCTGAAATTTCAAAAGAATAAGAGGTAAACGAAAAATAAAATATAATTTATTTGTATTTAATTTTTCAAATAACTGAAAAATGATAAATAACAATTTGTCCAATACCTTTTGTTTTGACAGAGATAAACCTTTAAGAAGAATAACCTCGATAATTTTTATGTAAGGTGTGGCATGAATTTAAGCTAGGTTTCAGTGTAAAGAATAATAGAGGAGATAACGTTTTTGTTTTATTCTATGGCAGTGTATTTGGTTATTTCTTTTTAGTTCTGTAAATAACTCTTTTGTTTCTTTGTATCAGTATAGAATTATTTGACGATGTATTGTTTTAACACATAAAGTTTCTTATTTGTTTTATAGTTTATTCTCCTTTAATATTGAAAATAGTATTATTTCTCGAATGATTTATGAGGTTTATTAATAAATCTCAGTTTTGAATTATTTCAAAAAATAAAAAAGGGTGACAGACAAAACATTAGCAAATATGAAAAGAATGAAAATAGGATAATATACAACAACGGTAACGTCATATCATTTTAATAATATTAATTTAGAAATATATGTCAAAAGATTTCAAGGAAATACAGAACGATTTCATTTTAAACTAATCCCACTAAATCAACATTATTGAAACATTTTATATTTATAATAAAGGTAAAGTATTTAATGTAGAAGAATAAGTAAACAACTGATATGCTATATCTCAGTTATTTCAAGACATTTAAAAGAAATAACAAAGGAAATATTATTAAAATTATAACCACAGAATCAGATAGAAATAAATATGGAAAGTAAGGGACTAAAAATTAATTTATGGGATATTTTATAATTGTAAAAATTGAAAGAGAAATATTTGATCAATAGTTATAAAATTAAATTAAATCATTTCATTTTTATATTCATTTAATATTAATCGGTGTAACCTTATATAAGATTTAATGTTAAGTATTTTGATCATTATTAAATATTTTTTAATGTTAAAATAATTTCAAAGATTCAGTGTGTTAATTCTGACTTTATTATGATACTTTCTTTTATTTATTTGAAAAGATATGCCTTTTGAAAAAAGGAGATTTTTATTGTTTTTATCAAAAAAAAAATATTGGAAGTTAATTTAAGTAAATCTAATAATAACAAAATATATGCCATGAGTATTATTTGATTTTAATATTATTCTTTCTCATTCAGTGTTTATTTGTATTTTTTTTTTCTTTTATTTGTATTCTATGATAAACAATATTTATTTATTTTCTTATTATAATATTTTTTTGGTTTAAATATTCAACAATTGATTTAAATATTAAGGGAGAAGTACTGATTAATTTTTTTAATAAAAGATAAGTTTTAATTGATAACTGTTGATGTAATTAAAAATGTCTATCAAAATAATAATAAAAGAATAAAATATAGTTCCTACCTTTTCTTTTCTATAAATAAAGGGATAATAGTATTTTATCTTTTATTATGTCATAAAGTAAAAATTTCTAAGAATAAAAAATATAATAAATGAAAGATTTTAACTGAATAAGTTTTAAATAAGAATAAACTAGCAATATTCATATATTATACTATTTATTTTTAAATAATGATTATCAGTTTTAGTTTTCTATATTTGCAGTAATAATTTTATATTTTTTGCAAACAGATTACGTACTATTTTTCAATAAAATTTATTATTTTAGAATATTCTGGATTTGATTTATTTTCTTCCTTTCTTTTAGAAGTATTATCTTATGTAACAATATAACAATTCAATAAATTTTATTAAATTTTATTTAAGATAGATGAAATTAGTTTACAAGTTCTTAGGATTTCTATTTTACTTTATTTGTTGTATGAATTTTCTATAATTAATTTCATTAGATTCATAAAATCAATATTTATTTGGTGGTTAGTTTAATTATTCTCATAACAATCTTAATGCTTATATTAATATAATACTGATATATTTTTATTATACCTTATATCAATGAACATCATTCTAATTTGTATTTTTCGACATCTTTTTCTTTTAAATAGATTAGTAATTCATTAATTTCTCTTAAACATTTTAACTTGTTCTATTTTTTTTTTCTAATTAAGTTAGTAAATCTATAAGATTTTACATTGTATTCGTTAAATCCCCCAGATAATTTGGTTAAGAATTAATTTTATAAGCAGTCCTTTAATTATCAATTTATATGTTTTTTATAGTAAGACTTTTGGAAATCTAATTGTTATTTTCATTAATTAATTATTGTTTGTTTATTTTGCAATCAAAGAATTTTATATTCCAAATTGGTTATACAAACTAACAACTGTTTGTAATACTACATCATTGTAATGGTTGTCTATTAGAATAAAAGTTGATTAATCCTTTTAAAAATATTTGAAATTAGTTCTAAAAGAAAGCCAGAGTTTATTAGAAAAATAAGAAAGTTTATTAGAAACATAAGAAAGTTTATTAGAAACATAAGAAAGTTTATAAAAAATACCCTTGTTAAATTATTATCTACAACGTCTGTTTGAGTAAGGCTAACACTATTTTAATGCTGTGTTTTTAGTTGTATTGCGATGTAAGTGTAGATCTTATAATGTTGTCTGATAATTAACAAAAAAAGGAGGAATTGTTTCCACTAACAAATCTCTATGACTCACAACCAAAGTAGTCTGTTTTAGTATTTGAGAAATATTTACCATTGATTGTTTAATGGTTTGTTTCTTCTTTAATCACTCTTCTTTGTTTTTTTATCAAATCTAGACAATCAGTTAAGTGTAATAATTTAGACTAAGTCTTTAGAAGAAAGAATAGAAGGAATGAAGAAATTTGATATTAAAAATCCACAATATGCATTTTATACAGGTCAAATAACAAGTGATGTTCTATTCTCACTTGGATATGGATTTATGGTTGATATTCGTGTTTATAAAGAAAATAATAAAACACTGAGTTATTGTAACCAAAACACATTTGAATATAAAGGAATATCAAATGCACTTTGTGGAAAACAACATCCAGAACGTTTCACACCAAAACGAATTATTGTTATTGAAATAAGAAAGTTTCTTTATTTTCTTTTTTGAAAATAGGGTGTGAAAATAAAGAAATAATTCTTATTTTTAATTAAAAATAGAATTTAAATTTCTTTGGTTATCAAAAATGTTTACTTAAAATCTTCTTCTTTTTGAAGTTAAGAGTACCTCTCAATTGAAATAGTGTAAAGGAACAAAAATTGTTTGAAGTTATTGGACGTTTCATTCATCAAAAAGGTTCTATTTATGGGAGTATTTATAATATGAAAAATTGAAGAAATAAGTCATTCATTAATGTTAATAAGAGAAATCATCAAATGTGCATGTTTTGCAGTAATCAAAATTATGTGCATCACATTGATGGGATTTGCAGCTTCAAAATTCTCTGGATTTAACACACAAGTGAGATCAATTTTTTCTAAAGTAATATTTACTTATTTTATGCCATGTGTTGTTCTTTATCAAGTAGCTACAGCAATAGACACGATCTCTGAGCTTAAAGAGTTATGGATTCTTCCAGTCGCGAGTATTATTCATACATCTCTTCAATTTTTTCCTATTTTGGTAGTTTCATATATAATTAGAATACCAAAAGAAGACCGTAGTCTTTATTCTTTTGTTCTTGGTTTTGCTAATGTTTGTTTGTTCTTTTTAAGTTATTATTAAAGAAATTTATTTTACAGGTAATGTACATTCCAATGGCTGTTATTGAAGCATTAACTGGAGAGACAGATGAATTAGGGGAAAACGCTAAGAGTAAAGCAAATCAATATATATGTGCATATCAAATATCTTTTATGGTGACGTTTTTCATTATTGGATATGACTATTTTAATCTTACTACAAGAGAACGGGAAAATAAAGGAAAAACTGATTCTCAAATAAAAGAACCTGAAGAATTGGCTATAGAAATGGAGGAAACCCAGCCAGTAGAGAAAAAAGAGGAAGCTTGTAAAGAAATTGAATTCAAACAACCAACGAAATCAGAAGAAATTATAAAAGATATTGAAACCCCAAAAACTTCTAAAGGAGAGGACACAAACATACATAAAGAAGATGAAACTTTAACTAAAGAAGAGAATACAAATATACCAAAAGAAGAAAGTATTAAGATAGATAAAACTTTATCTAAAGAAGAAGATATTAAGACAGATAAAACCGTATCTAATAATAAAAAAGATATATCTGGGGAATCACTTAAAATAAACAAGATGAAAATAGAAATAGATAAGTTCAAAAAGAAATTATATAACATTAAAACAAAATTGTGTTATCCTTTTGTTTATGTATGGAATAAGTTCCCTTCAATTGTTAGGTCTTCAATTAAAAACTTCTTTTCTCCACCTACTATTTGTACTATAATTGGGGTTATTTTAATGTTACTTAAATGGGTAAGAGATCCTTTGTTTATAAGAACTGATTGGAGTATCATTGGAAGATGTATTAATTACATGGGAAGTGCTGCTGTATTCTGTGCCTTGTTTCTTTTAGGTGGAAGTTTTGAGAAGGGACCTTTTGGTAGTTCTATTCCATTTTGGAAGATTGTAGTTGGTGTTTTTGTAAGAATGGTACTTTTTCCAGCTGTTTCATGGATTTGTACATTCTTTATGTGGAAGCATGATATTCTTCCTTCAAGTAAAGTATTTTATTTTGTTCTACAAATGGAGTCATTTGCTCCACCTGCTATTAATGGGTTAATTGTTGTTAATGTATGTTATCCAAAAGGAGTTAAATCATGTTCAGCTATTCTGTTTTGGTGTTATATGTTCGCTATATTAAACATCATTTTTGGTGTTGTTTTATCAATGAAATCTTTAGAATGGAAATAAAATGTACTAATGTTAAATTGAGAACTGTTTTATTTTTTTTTTGCTTATACACTCTAATATCATGAAAATTGTGGAGATTGGTCTTATAAAACTTTGTACCAATTTAGACATTCTTAATTATAGAATATCTTACTTTATGATTTAAATTCATTTAAAAAATAGTTGAATTAATAATAATGAGATTTCGTTATTTTTAAATTAGACTTATTTTCTTGATAATTATTATTTATTTTATTCTCTTTATTGGATATTTCTTTGGCAATATTTTGTATTGAATTTTAATTACATAGCCAATAATTATTTTACATTCTTCCCTACGTTTAAGTTATTAAATGTATTAAGTTATTAAAGTTCTTGACAGTTTTGTACAATTCAATCTTATTAAGAATTACAATTATCGTTTATAAATACCATGTTTAATGTTACTGGAAGTAAGATTTCATTTAAATTAGTAGTTTATTACCATTATGAATTGAAATTGGAGTGATTTAATCTTTTCTTTAGTTTAAACACAAAGTTATTCTATATTTCTTTTTTTTATTCAAACATTTATGTAATACTCACTTTTTACAAATTATTTTCTTATTTTAGCATTATTCAAGTTATTTATTAATAATATTAATTGTTTTATTTCTTTATTTTTCTTATTCATTTTTGTCTTTAAATTCTTTATTTTTACTCTACTATTAATTCTTTATTCTAACTTATTTATTATGAATATTCAATAAAAGGGTTTCAATACTTTTTTATTTTCATTATTATCATAAACAATTATAAAATTGATATAATGTAAGAGAGAAGCATGAAGTAGAATCAAATTAGGTAGATGAGTATTAATTTATTGTGATTGTTGTTATTTGTTTATCTGTTAATTTATTTTCTTTGATATTTTCTTGTGTTATTGGTTTGTTGTTTAGTTTGTTGTTATTCTTTTTTATTATTATTTCTTTAAAAACTTATTTCCTTTTCTTTTTTGTTGGTGTGTTTTATTTTCTTTATACAATCGATTTATTGTTCATTTTCATAATTGGTTATGGTTAGTTGTTAAGTATAATTAAATGATTAAAAATCAAATTATTTATAAAAATACTTTTTTCATTTTAATATTTAAAAATATTAAATAACATTATTTTATTTGTGTTATTTATTCATCATTTTAAAAATAGATTAATTAAAATGATGTCTCATTTAATTTGTTATTTTATTAAATAAAATGATTTGTTATAAATGTGTATTTAGTTATTTATGAATCTGATTTTGATCTGATATTCATTAAATTAAAATGGATGAGTTAATAAACAAGAACACTCATTTCTTTAAAGAAGAAATAGAAACACTTCCAAATATTCAACAATCAATTGATGATATTAATAAACATTATCAATATTATTTAGGACGTATTAAAAATGAAATATTTGAAATAAAAGCAGATGAAACATATTCAGAAGCTATTAAAAGAGGAGAAGGAATATTTGATAGGATTGATGAAACAGAAAGAAATAACTAACCGAACAGAAACAATGAAGAATAAGTTAATAAAAATAATAGAAGAATTTAGTGATGATGAAGAAACAGTTATAAAGTGGAGAACGAACTAACCATACATCGTTCAAATAGAAGAAATGATAATGAAAAATAAAAATTAGAATACTATTTTTTTAAAAAAAGGATTTAATAAGAATAAAGAAGAATAGTTTTCACAATACAATGACTATGAAGAGAGAAAGAAAAAGAAAGTATTCAATATGATACTTGATCAAAGAGTAATGAATAAAAAACAAATAATGACCACTATTAAAGATGGAAATAAATTTGGAGGATATATTAATTTGTGTTATTGGATTTAATCATTACATAAAAGATCCAAAATCAATTATACTTTCATTAAAAACAAAAGGAAGAATACAAGGAATGATGAAATTTGATAATATACAACAACTGGTGTGTTTTATTTAGATAGTCAATCAAATGATGGAATGTTTGATTTTTTGGTAGAATAGAAATTAGCTTTAATCTTTTAAAAGAAAATAGCAAAATCAAAACAGTGGTTATTTGAATAAAAAGTAGTATCAGAATTACATTGTAGAAAACGATATACAGAATATTTCACACCAAAATAAGTTATTGTTATTGAAAAGAAAAATTAATAAATCAAGTTTAGGTAAATTTTAATCAAAATGTTTCTTTCATTTCTTATTTATTTGACACATTATATATTTATATAATCTTTAGAGTATTTCATTAGGTCTTTCATGTTCATAATTATTATATCTTTTACCATTATTTCAAATTGTTTTATAATAGACTGTTCATTGATTATTCTTACTCTCTCTTTATCAACTGTTTTATTTATCGTCATTACCATTGAAATTACTTTTATTTTAGTATGTTATTTTCTCCTAGTGATTTCTATCTATTTCTACTTTGTTATTTAATATTAGACTTATCTTTTTATTACTTCACTTCATCATACCCTTTATTATTCATATTTATCTTCTATATGACTACATTGCCCTTTATGAAATATTCATTTTTTATGAATTAATTATTGATTCTATACTATAAATACTTATTTGTTTTATTCTTCTTTTAAATTTACCCATTTCATTTTTAATTTCATTTTGTTCTCTCATGTTTTCTTCTTCATCTCATCAATACTCATTATATTTATTTTATACTTAGTTTAATACTTCTCCATTTGTACATTCTTATTTACAATATAATTTAATAATATATGTTTAGATGTTATTATTTTATTATTACAAATACTAAACTATTGAAAGTATTATTTCTTGTATTAATTTTAATTAATTACATTCATTTCATTTTCAAAGTATTTTATAAAATCACTACTTACATTATTTAATTTCTATTTATTAATATATATTTCATTAAATTCATTTTTGTTAATTCTTTTACCACATGCTTTATAGAATCTCTTCCAAATTCAATTCTTATTCATTTTCATCATTTCTCCTATTTCATTATCTCCTTTCCATTCATAATACATTATTGTTCTTATTATTTCTAATTCATATTCATCTCTTATTAACATATTATTTCATCATTGTGACATTCTATATTTTATTTGATTTTCTTAATTTACCATTGTTTATTTTCGTACTGATATTGTTTGAACCTCTACTTGAATTATTGCAATTATATTTATAATAACTGGATTTCTTTTTTACTTGACTATAGTCATTTGAAATGTGCTATGATAATTTATGATTCTAATTAATAAAGTGACTATAGATGTTATTCTTTGATAATGCTTATAATGGTTATAACTTTGGTAATATCTTTTAAATGTATTTCTTAGTATAAGTTATTTTTAAATGATTATTATTCTTGTTATTGTGAAAAGGTATAATGAAGACATTATGAAAATAATAAAAAAAAACAATATCCATAAAAATCAATAAAAAACATCATTTGTTAACATAATTAAATTTACCATAAAATAAATAATTTAACCATAAATTATGTTTAAGAAAAATTTATATAAATTTAGTCATCATTTTTTTGTTAAAGTGGTATCATTTAATATTTATTATTTAAACAAAGAATATCTACTATAAATAATACAATTGATGAATGTATTTATCATTTCATCCAGAAAATTATACCCCCTGTTTCAATTCATACCAATTGAAAACAATTACAGAGGGTTTGAATACCGAAACAGTTATTAATTCAATAAAAATATTTATCAATAAAATTACAAAAGAAATATTTAATATTTTAGGAAGTAAATTAAATGATGTATGAATATTAAGTATTTTTATAATGATGATAATTTGTCATAGCATTATTTCAAACAACACACTATTCTTTACTTAATTCTAAAACCATAATAAAA